TCAGCTTTTTCCATAGCGTATGCCTGGTTCTCTTCTGGAACATTAATAATCAACAAATATTGTATTTGTTTGCTAGGGCTCCCATAGAAAGGACCACCCGTGGTACGGCTAAATAACAGACATTTCTTCTCTCATAGTTCTTAGGGCTGGGTGTCCAGGATCAAGGCCATGACAGGGCCGTGCTCCCTCTGAAGGCACAAGGAAGGATCTGTTCTAGGCTCTTCTCTTGGCTTTTGCAACATGCCTTCAAAATCCACATGGTGTTCTCTCTGAGTGTGTGTGTCTGTATCCAAATTCCCCCCTTTTAATAAGGATGGCAGTCATATTGGATTAGTGGTCCCCCTATTCCAGAATGATCGTATCTTAGCAAATTACATCTGTAATGGCTATGTTCTGAGGTACTGGGAGTCAGAGCTTCAATATATACATTTTGTAGGGATGACAACACAACCCCTAACGATAATTAACATTTATTGAATACAAGTGCTGTGAATTACTGTTTACTTCTCATGGTAAGACCTATTAAGGTATTAGATTTGTATCATCCCTACTTTTCCGTGGGGAAAACAGGGGCTCAGAGAGGTTAAGTAAGTGGCCCGAGGTCACCCAGCCAGTGAGCGAGGGCCATGAGACCATAGAGCCCAGACACTCCACCATCCTGCTTTGTTGCCTGTACCCACTTTCTCACCCAACAAGTGCCAGATCCAGGGGCTCAAGATGTAGCTGTGAACCCTAAAGTTTTGCTTCTGAAATTGTGGGTTTGTTGGGATGCAGAGGGTGGATGGACACCGGTAGGATTTTTTTTTAAACTTCAACGCTATGGCATAGTCCATTCCTGACAACTTGTGAAGAATAAGAAGCCAGAAGAACTTGTGTGAATTATGTTTCCCCTGATGCCACCCTGGGTGGCAGCTGATGCTCAGGCTTGTGTGGCCCTGGTGATACTTGGTGGACGTTCACTCGGAAAGTTCATGTCGTGCCAAGAAAGTCAATTTGGAAAACCAGCTGTTTCTGCAAGATGCAATTATTTACAGCTGCCCAAGCCAATGAGCAATGCCAGGAGCCAAGAATAATTGCAAATCAAATGAACAAAAATGTCTTTCTCAAGTTTATTAGGTCCCAAAGCCATTTTAACAGACTGTCAAAATCTCAGGAAGAAGAAAGCAAATTGGAAAGATGGGCAATTGCCTCACAGGGTTGGATGAAACAGTGTCCATATCTTTGGAAACAAGGTAATAAAAACTTTGGGAAGACCATGGGATTTGCTGCATATTGACTGTCAGGCATGCAGCAGTGGGTCTTCCTGCACTGTGAGGTTTGCTTCTACGACAGCTGTGCGAGGCTGTGGATTCGTCTCCTGTGGCTGCTGTAGCAGATCACCGCAGTCTCCTACAGCCCTGGGGGGCCAGAGTCTAACACAAGTCTCAGGGGGCAAAAATCACAGCTTCTGGCAGGGCTGTGTTCCTTCTGGGGGCCGTTCCTTGCCTTTCCAGTTTCCAGAGGCCATGTGCTTTCCTTGGCTCATGGCTTCTTCCTCCACCAAAGCCAGCAACTGCCGCTCCAACCTCTGCTTTTGTCACTACATCTCCCTCTCAGATTCTGATGCCTGCCTCTCTCTTTCATTTTTAAGGACCCTTGTGGTGACACTGGGTCACCTGGCTAATCCATGATGACCTCCCTATCTCCAGATCCTTAACTTAATCATGTCTGCAAAGCCTCTTTTGCCAGGTAAGGTGACATACTCGTGCTTCCAAGAATCAGGACCACCATGGGTGGGGGGGGGTAATTCTGCTTACCATGGTAAGCCTGGTTATGTTTGTTTTAAAGATGACAAATAAATTCAGAGATGTTGGGCAATTTTCCCCATGCCACTCAGCTAGTAGATGGGTGGTTAGGATTGCGATCCAGAGCTGCCGGGTCCTACAACAGAAGCTCTTTCTCCCCCAACACAGTGTTTCATCTCAGACGCCCAGCCTCATGCTAGAGTTAATCTCAAGGTACTCCAGAGATTAGGGTAAAGGCAACCATGTTAAGAACAGTATATCCCAGTGGACTATTCTGGATCTCCAGTTCCTTTGGATGATAAACTGGGAAGGGTATAGATGACTGGGGCCATGTGCATGAGGCCATTGGACAGGCTGCCCAATGTACTTCCCTTCCCTTTCCTTCACCTGGCTAATGCCTGCTGAGCCTTCAGTGCTCACCTTCCTGGGACCTCTTCCAGGAACCCTCCCAGGAGAGTTCATGCCAGTGTTGCACGTGGTATGTGTCTGTTTCTGGATCTTTCTCTCTAGAACACAAATTCACTAGTGACCTAACACAAGCATGATACGGATGTGCCAGAGCTGCTTGTGGAATGCATGCATGCATGAATGAATGACTCCACCATGATGCCACTCCCCATAGTGGGCCCACATGGCAGTCTCCGCACCCCTAGAACACATATGTTCCAAGTGACTGTGACCCATCCTGCTCCACAGCTGAAGGTGGCAACAGGCCAACTCCCAGTCTTTTACAAAGGTCCTCTCTGCCTCTCCCAGGATGTTGAAGTCACTTTCCCTCCTTCCTGGGATTAGTTCTTATAAGAAATACTCTGTCAAATATTGTCAGCTTGTAACAAAGATGATCCACTGGCCAGAGAGAGGGGGCTGGAAGGTGGGCACCTGGAGTCAGGGAGATGGGGTTGAAAGCATCATCACCCTCTGCTCCTTTTTTAAATGAGGATGAGAACCGGACTTTGGGAGTGATGTGAATGAACATCCATGAGATCCCAGGTAAGGCACTTCAGGGCCTTGGGGAGCAGTGAGGGCCCCCAATATCAGCTCTCCCCACTCCCTTGGGTTCTGACCCTACTGGCTATGTAATCCTGAGAAAGCCAATTCTTTGGCACTTGGTTTTCTCGCCTGTCAGAAAATTGCAATGGTCCCTGTAAAATCCTCCTCTCTACAAGGATGTTCATCACAGCCTTATTTACTGACAAATGGTGTAGTTAACTCTGTGAGCCCACCTCATTTGCCAGGCACTGCTCTCCAGTATTCACTTGCTTAATCCTTACTCCATCCCTATGAGGCAAAGGTGGTGTCCTTACTTTTTTTTTTTTTAAGATTTATTTATTTATTTATTTATTTGAGAGAGAGCACGCAAGAGGGGGCAGAGGGGCAAAGGGTGATGGAGAAGCAGACTCCCTGTAGAGCATGAAGTGCAACACGGGGCTCAAAACCAGGACCCTGAGATCATGACCTGAGCTGAAATCAATCAGTCGGACATTCGACTGACTGAGCCACCCTGGAGAGGAACGGTGTTCTTATTATAGAAATGGGGTAATTGAATCAGAGAGCTGTTGAATAACTTCACCAGGGTCACGCAGCTCCAAAGGGATGGAGACAGGATCAGAATCCAGGCAGAGTGGCTTTGCCATCTAGGCTTCGAGGGCAGATACTCAACAGCACCACCCCGCAGGGAGCAGCTAGGGAACCTGCCATATAGCCAGTTTCTGAAGAGCCACAGAGCCTGCACAGCTAGCGCTCGATCACAGGGGCGCTGATCAGCATGTTTTTCTGTATATACGTTACACGTCCACAAAACACGCCTCAGGTGAGAAAAAGGAAAGTGGAATGAAAAGCAAGTCTGGCACGAGGTCATGTGCGCCAAAGCAGAGGGACTACCACAGAAGAACAGAACACACACCTGCGCATAGAAAAGCCAAATGGCCTTGGGAGGTATGATCACAGATTTCTCCTTTGGTTCTTTCTACTCTTCTGAATTTCACTTGTGCACCTGAGCTTGTGATGATTTCTTACAACAACAAAATACTTTACCAGCCAGTCCCCTCCCCCAAAGCAAACCCTGTGGTTTTCCCACCACGTTCATTCCAGACTGACTGTGCTTTTCCATGGATCAACGTAAACATGAATCACCACAACTGGGGAACGAGAATTTTGTGAAACTCCGATTGTGAAATGGTGAGATATTTTCCTCTAACAGAAAGACTGTGAGTGAGAGGAGGAGATGAACACGGGCCCTCGACCCTTCCTGACATCCATTGTTAGAAGCATCTCGTTAGAATGACCCATTACGAGCAAGGAGCAAAATAAGGCATCTGTTGACAGCGAGTCAGAAATGCAACTGGAAGCCTCTGCCTGTTTGCACCGTGTCCATCCTGTCAGCAGAAGTCGGCGCGAGAGAGGGGAAATAAATGAGCTCCCCCATGAGGGAGGATCTGATTCTCACTCTGATTCTACCCTCCTCTCTCCCCTTCGGGAAGAAGCCCCACTGTGGACTATGTGCCTGGAATGTGAGGCACAGACCACACACCTACAAGGTACAAGAGGTCGGACATCTCATAAGACTGAAGCTCAGAGAGGTTGAGAGCATTGTTCAGCATTGCACAGCCAAGAAATTCCAGAGCCAGGATTCAAACCTGGTTTGGTGTGATTGCCCAAACCGGTACAATTTCTGGGACATTCTGAAGTCTCCCAAATCCCTCGTGGAAGCATGGGTAGTGTGCATCTTTAAGGCTGAGGCAGAATGATAAGCTCTGTGTCTTTCTTTGCACATTTTTGCTCATTATTAAAGCCACCCTCTGTTACACCGATCGACTGGAACGTCCTCCCTCTTTTCCTTTCTATCCCAAACTCCTGCATGTTTGGGATAGAAAGATGAACACTCACGCTTTGGAAACATTTTTCAGGTCATGGCACTGGACCTTAGGTTCACAGGGACTCTGTCCTGGACCTCCAAGGACAAATGCCCCTTTTCACTGGGTGCTCGTCCCATCTTACCGGCTGTGACCACATGAGAGCTCAAAGAAGGCAGCTATTTGTTAGAAGAAAGACAGCAGGGGAGCAACTTATCAGTAAGAATATTCTCTAAGTGGGGAAACATCCTAAAAATCAGACACCTTCAGAGCCACCAAGGACATGCTCCTTTAAAGGCAAGCACGGTTGCCTGGGGGCCCCCTGGCCCCGGGATGCTCTCAGGAATGGCCCCAGATTACTCACAGAGAAGATGGCAGCCAGCGTCTCGATGCCACCAGTACTCAGGGTAATGTATGGGATCTTGTCCGGTGAGATCCCAGCTTTGCCAAAGATGCTATTGGTGTAGAACCAAATCTGTAAGGCAGGAAAGAAAAACAAAGGTGAGTCAGTGAAAGGCATCTATTTCCAAAATTAAATTCAGGTGCAAGGCGGTCCCTGAGATTCGCTGCTCCATCCAGCATGGAGCTTTGTGGTGTGGCCAACTATCTGTTTTCTTCCTCCTCCCACCTTTGTCTCTTCTTCATTACTGACAGGGATACAGGGAGCCACATGTGCTGAGCAAATTGTGGCAAGGAGATGCACATGGAAATGTTGGTGAGGCTTCTCGGAAGTCTCCCGAAAATGAGCTTTCCGCCAAGGAGGCGGGGCCCCATTTTTGCCCTTCCTCCTTTCTGCTGTCCAGATGGTGAACGTGATGGCTGGAGATTCAGCAGCCCTCTCGGATCACTAGGTGACCTCAGGACAGCATGGTAGCCTCCATGGTAACTGTGAGAAACAGGAAAGGTTCTTTACAGATACTTTACTGTCATCCACTAGAAAGCTGTCACAATACACCTATGATGGGAACAACGTGAATGATGCCCTGGGGATTGTATAACACAGAACCTGCAAACCCTACATGGGGCCCCTGCTTTGGGATGGAAGCCACCCGTTCAGACGCTAGAGCAAGAAGTTAGAAGGAGCTTGTGTCCTTGCTCACTACAGTGATTCTGTAACTTATTAGCCAAAGCTGGGCACTGTTGAGAGTATTAATAATTAGTTCAGGACAACAGGCATGAATCGGGATTGCCCAGGCAAACCAGGATGTGTGCTCCTGGGACTGCGCTGCCACTTTTCCCAATTTCCTCATGCGAAGTTAGGTCAGTGTGGAGGTTTCCACCACTGAGACCAAACCTAGCTCTACTGACACTCACAGGGCATCAGACGGTCACTGACTGGAGGTTGGAGGACCGGCTCTGTGTTGAGCTGGCTGTGTGACCTCGAGCAATTGACTCTGTGCTGCTGGGCTTCCTTCCCCTTCCCAGGCAAGGAGGACAGCCAGGCCCCTCCTGTGGGGTGTCAGAATTGGGCAGGAACTGTCACTGTGCTCTATTTAAGTTTTGGGTCCATAGGCTGGACACGAGTTACTTGTGTCCTCACGATCCCAGCCATTTCCTTAAAGAGCAAGAGTCTGCGAAATGATAGAACACCAAGGTGTCCTTGGTACGACATCTGACGAGGAAACCGCCACCTTCGAGGGCCTTGGAAGCGTTTATACTCTGACCGATATTAAGTAGAAACATTAGAGCTTATTAGCTGCTTATAACTTGTCAGGCCCGACGGTAGCTGGACATGCTCTTTGCGTTTGACTCTTACTTCGTTTTTTTTGGAAAAAGCTCTCATTTCTAGAAATTTGTCTTGTTACCGGCATCTGTTTAGCAAAACATTTTTCATGCGCTGGGGGAGAAGATGTAATTTAGGATGTACCCGTATCTATAGATGGCTTATCTTTTAGTGACGGGAGTAATTGTTCATAAAGTTATAGGCACATTCAGAGTCCAGTAAAAATTACTGCCAGGATTTCTGTGAGCTCGCCGGCAAAGTGCGTTCTTATGTTCTCGTAAAACAAAGACCCTCTTGCCTGTGTCTGGCCCACATTTGACTGAGCTGATAAATTAGAACTTTCTAATTACATTCTATTACATTCTGTCTTTGCTTCCACATTCACAGAGTACAGGGCCCCCGATAAATTCATTAATTCCTATAGTTCTTAGGGCTGTGCCAGAAGCTAAAACTATTCCAGAAAGCCCCAGTCTTCACGGGATTTGTTTGTATAACCTCCTTCCCTTTGGAAGGAAGCTGTGATCTCCAGCACATCTTCAGAGTTGGGTCAGAGGGGCTTAAATGCCATTCTTAATCTTTACCCAGATTCATTGACGTTTAATAGCCAAGGCTCTCGGGATCCCTTTCATGCCCCAGGCTACTCTGCTGGAATTGTTATTTTCTGCCTCAGCCTGAACCCCAGAGCGGTGAGCCTGCGATCCCAGTGGGTATGTGTTCTCCTGCGCAAGCTGTGCCCTGGCCTCCCCTGTGGCCTCCTTCCTGGCTCCTCACAACCCCTGCAACCTTCCCTGCTTCCAATTTTCCCTGTAGCGACACTGCCTTGGGCCTCCCCGAGGGGTTTCAATGTTAGTGAAGGGAGTCATGGTGCATAAAACTAAACTCTCAAGGTGGGGTGGGGGTGGGGGGCTCTTATAAAAGTGGCCCTAGAGTCATTTCATGGTAAATGCATTTATCCATCAACAGGCAGAAACCAGCCCTCTGGACCATCTCCCCCATTCTAGGGTTTGTGCGGAGGTCCTGCTGGGCTGTCCCTGTCCCTGGCGGGGGTGGGGGGAAGGCCTGCCCATCACACAAACTGCCTGTCTTGTTCTGCTGGCTCCAGAAGCCATTTCTCTTCTGCTGAAGCATCCTGTAGAGCAGGACGGTACTGCCTCTACTCCCATTGAGGTTTATTTGAACAGGCAGTTTGAGGGCTTGTACACCATGGAGGCACCAGGAAAGGTGGAGTGTGTCCCGCAGCAGTGCTCACAAGGAGCGTGCCCTGTGTTGATCTCATCCATGACACAATCACGCTCTCAGGTTGCCGACGGCCTCCTCCCATGGAGGGGGACAGGGGACTGGAAGGAGCAGCAGTCTGGAGGCCTACACACCCGATTCCAGCTCCAATGCTGCCTCTGGTGAACTGTGGGCCTGTAGACAAGTGACTACATGTCTCTAAAGAAGGTAAAACGATCTTTCAGAGAGGTTGTAAAAATTTTTTTAAGTGATGAAGTAGAGCATCTTTAAAAGATTTTACTTATCGGGACGCCTGGGTGGCTCAGTGGTTAAGGGTCTGCCTTTAGCCCAGGGTGTGATCCTGGAGTCCCAGGATCGAGTCCCACATTGGGCTCCTTGCGCGGAGCCTGCTTCCCCCTCTGCCTGTGTCTTTGCCTCTCTCTCTGTGTGTTTGTCTCTCAAGAATAAATAAATAAAATCTTTAAAAAAAAGATTTTATTTATTTGAGAGTGAGTGAGCTTGTGTGCACATTGGGGGAGGGGAAGAAGGGGAGGAGGAGGGACAAGCAGACTCTCAAGACCTCAAGACCATGGCCGGAGTCAAAATCAAGAGTCAGGCCCTTAACCGACTAGGTCACACAGGACACTCCAAGCATTTCTTACAGAATTGGCACATCATAAATGGTGGGTATCATTCTAGAAGATTTCCATCTCTCTATTGAATCTCACCCTTGCTCTTTGGTAAAGGAAAATGTCAAACCAGTTATGCACATGCATTGGGGAGGAAGCACCTCTGGCTCTGCTTCTCAGCCTGCTTCTTGACTGGCTGCCTCTAATGCCCCCAAGCCCTCCTTCTTAACTCCTGACACAGTGTGTTAGAGACAGAGCATAACAGGCACACTCATTTTCAACTCTCTCAACAGCTTGTGAAGGTGACGTTGCCTAAGGATCAGAGAGACCACACACAGCCGATAGGGAAGGAGCGGGTGCAGACCCAGGCCTGTTTGCTCCCTGCCCCACAGTTCTTCCGCTGCTCGGGCTCTACTGGGGCTGTCAGGGCAGCTGGCCGATGGGATTCGTCTTCTATGCACCCGCCGCCCTGACTCCCATATTTGCACACGGCCTTCACTGCACTTGGCCTCGTCCTCAGAGATGTGTTTTAACCCATCTCTCTGGCTTAACTTCAGGAGCAAGAAACCACCTTATCTGCCTTTGCCCAGAACAAGGTGATTCTTGCAGAGTATGGATGCAGAGAATGGACTTAACACATGCTTGTGGGGGGTAGTCACCAAACAGTGACTCCCCCAAAGATGTGCATGTTCTAATCCCAGGAGCCCATGAAGAGGTTACATTACCCGGCAAAAGGAGCTCTGCAGATGCGGTTAGGTTTAGGGGTCTTGGAGCACCTGGGTGGCTCAGTGGTGGAGCACCTGCCTTTGGCCCAGGGCTTGATTCTGGGGTCCTGGGATCGAGTCCTGCATTGGGCTCCCCATGGGGAGCCTGCTTCTCCCTCTATGTCTCTGCCTCTCTGTGTGTGTGTCTCTCATGAATAAATAAACTCAAAATAAAAAAAATTATCTTGAGTTATCTAAGTGAGCTAGAAATGTAATCCTGAGGGTTGGTAGAAGACAGAGGTTGGAGAAGGCAGGCGCCAAGGTGGAAGCAGAGGTCAGAGGGAGACAGTTGTAAACATACAGGTGGTCTCGCACAGGATCTATTTTGAAGTATAGAAGACAGAGGAGATCTTGTCATTTATTTTTATTTTGTTTTATTTTATTTTATTATTTTTTTTGATCTTGTCATTTATTAACCACTATGTCCCAGGAGCCCTGCCAGTGCTTCACCAACTGAAGGGATGGGACGCCCTTTCCTTTCATTTCCTGTTCCTACCTGGGGAAGACACCTGTCTCTCAGCCCAAGGGACAAGTAACCACATAAGGAATAAGGGATAAGGTCAGAGGGGCCCTTGGAAGAGGCACTAATGTGCTCATTTACGCCTCCCCCTGGGCTGTCTGTGTACCTGCCTCTGGCAGGCAGTTTCCAGGTCCCCTCTGCCCTCTCCATGCGGGGAGGGACCTGCTCAGTGGAGCTGGACCTGGGGTTGGGTTGCTTCCTATTGTTGGGATCGGGTGGTGCCTTAAATCTGGGAATGCAGAATTTACAGCAGTTTCTGGAGTCACACCCTCCAATCCAGCTCCGCCTTGAGTAGAGGGCACACTGTGATCCCCATCTATCTGATTCCTGTGCCAGTCTCTCTAATCCGCTCTGAATTTCAGAGGGGGAAGAAAGGGGCTTATGTACTGGACTCCACAAACCTATCACCCACATGCCCCAATTTTATCCTCACACAACCCAGTGAAGTAGGTGTTTTGCCCCCATTTAACCGATGAGGAAAGTGAGGCTCAGCTCAGTGAGGGCTACACAGCTCAAAGTGGCAGAGCTGGGATGTCGGCTCAGACCCTCCCAACACTTTCCTGACCTCTGCTACATTGGGGTGGGAGGCAGCTGTTTCCCCTCCTGAGGTGGAATGGGGTGGGG